TTTTGATCAAGATGATTTTCATATGTCTCTTCGACATAGGCTGATGAATTATTTACCCTCAAACGCTCGCAAATTAAAGGAAAATGCGATACCAAGAAAGCATTTATACAAACAAACACGAACTGAAAGTAAGTCTAATTTGGAAAGAAATTTACGGGCAAAAAAAAGAGAACAAAAGCAAGTAGTAAGCGACCTACTACATGAAATTTCCGGCAACTCCGAAGAAGTTCCGCAACAAACGGATAATTTGAGCACGGTTTGTGTAAGCTCTGATCCAAACGACAGTGTCGTACTAGATCTGAAAAAGCAAATAGCTCAATTAGAGGAAAGTAATTTGGAACTAATTTTACAAAATACGGAATTGTCGCAAGAAAACAATTTGTTGACAAATAAACTGGGGAAAACGACTAAAAACTTAGAAGAAGCAATGAAGACATTGAATTCATTGTTTACACCTGGGCAAATAAAATTACTTATGAATAAAACCACTCGTGTTTGTTGGTCTGCTGAAGATATTTCTGCAGCAATTTCTTTACGAAGCGTTAGTCCAAAGGCTTATAGGTAGGTCCTTTATTAGATATTTATCAGAATTACTTTTAATAATTTTAATTTTTAGGTACCTACGACAAAAATTACATTATCCTCTTCCTGCTTTGTCAACGTTACGAAAATGGGCTTCTAAGTTTACAATATCCGAAGGTTTATTATCAGAAGTACTAAGATTAATGAAGTTTAAGGGTAAAAGTATGACAAATATGCAAAAGGTTACTATCCTTAGTTTCGATGAAGTTTATTTATCTGATGAAATTTGTTTTGATAAACAAGAACAGCGAATAATTGGTCCTTGTAAATCGGCACAAGTTGTAATGGCGCGAGGACTTTTTTCAGATTGGAAGCAACCAATTTACTTTAAATTTGATCAAGCTATGACAAAAGGTATTTTGTTTGAAATAATTAGGAAAGTGGAACCGTATTATTCCGTGGTTGCGATTGTCTGCGATATGGGAGCTAGTAATCAAGGATTGTGGAAATCTTTAAATATCGATTGGAATAACAATAATTTTTTCCCTAATCCGTCTGATAATGAGAAAAAAATTTACGTGTTTGCAGACATACCACATCTACTAAAATTGGTTAGAAATAATTTCCTTGATCACGGCTTTACAATTGACAACTCTAAGATAAACTCTCAGTGTATACAATATATGATAAAAAATTCCAACACTGACTTAAAAGTGGGCTATAAAATATCTCAGTATCATCTTGATGTTAAGCAAGCTCAACGCCAAAATGTAAAAGTTGCGGCTCAACTGTTCTCACATACAACTGCAAAAGCTCTACAATGGTGTGGTCATCAAGGTATAATCAAAGAAAATTGGGAAGCGGCTGCGAATTTACTCGAATTAGTTAATACTTGGTTTGATATTTTTAATTCCAAAATTAAGTTTGGAACGCATAAAGCCAAACATGCGTATGGAATTGACATAAATGCTCAAAATAGTATTATTCGTGAAATGACACAATTTATGACTAGGATGAAGGTGGGAAACCATAAGCACATGTTACCTTTTCAGCGGGGTGTAATTGTATCTAACAGATCCTTAATAGATTTGTACAACGAGTTAAGAAATAGGTACGATACGGAGTATGTTTTGACAAGTAGACTTAACCAAGATTTGTTGGAAAACTTTTTTTCATATGTTCGTGGTATGGGAGGACCACATGAGAATCCTTCGCCTGTAGACTTCAAATATAGATTAAAATTATATATATTAGGAAAACATTCCGATGCCGTTTTTGTTGATAAAAAAAATACCTTCGAAACCGCCGGCGAAAGCTGCCTCGCTCAACCATTACACGACTTGGCAGAAATGAATTCTTGTTTAACGGGCCAACTATTGCAAGAAGGTATTGGTGAAATACTACTTCAAAATGAAATTTATGATGAGGACATTAATTTTGCTCAAGAAACATCGAGCATTCATAAAGAGGGTTTACTATATATAGCTGGTTACGTTGCACACAAATTAAGAACGAGATACCCATTCTTAGGCGAAAAGGCCGAATTTGAAAAAGGCGGTAATTGGATAAATTTTATATCTGAAGGGAACTTGACAAAGCCAACAAATTTTTTCGCTGTTGCCGCAGAGAAAATGGAGTATTACTTTAATCACGTGCACGGCGAGAACATTTGCCACGATTCTAAAATTATTGAAAAAGTAATTAACTTAATGCATCAAAACTGTGATACGACATTAATACCTATACCTAACGACGCTCTCGAATACTTAGTTAAAGTAAGAACGTATATCCGAATTCGGGAACTAAATAAGACAATGAAAAGCTGCGGAACTTCTGTAGAAAGACGAAAATATGTGAAAAAACTGAAGAAAATGGTTTAGTAGCTAATGAAAAAGAACTCTTAAGTTGTAAATAGTCTGAATTAATGTTTTGTTCATGGTATTGAATAAAAAGTTTTGTTCATATTTTAGATTAAATCCTAATGATTTTTACTTTGTTTTTGTAATACAACACAGTTTGTTACGTAGATATATGCAGATAAGCTCTAATTAGGCGTAATCACTTTATGAATGAAAACTTTTCACCGTAATTGTTAGGCTTTCTTACTTATTCTTATAGTGCGGCGGCAGAGCCTCAAAATCGTTCATATACCCAATCAAGTGGTACAACCACATGTGTTATATATCAGATTACGCGGAATAAAAAGATATATCAGATGCATATAGTTTAGACGTCGGCAATTGGTCGAGCTAAAAGTTATTCACAAAAAACTTCAAAAAATGTATCAGTTTTATCGGATCTCTCACTCCGCGAAAATTTATTTTTATAAAACTGTGTTTATACTAGAGGATAGATAATTTTATATGCTTTCCAATGGTATATAATAATCTGAACAAATGTTATAACCAATGAGGCCAAAAAATAGAAATATTATGGGAGTTTTGCCGGCACCAGTTCGTTTCAGAACCGCGTGACGTCACATCAACGCCCGCCGACTAATGCACTATGCGCAATAGCAGACCATACTCTTATTAGGCCATGGATGCGTCCTTCTCTTTCACCGCAATTCTAAGTAGCGTGCGAGAGAGAAACATGTTTATGAATGCAAAGGCTCCATGTGATAGAAACAGTCAAAAATATTCATTACATTAATTTTAATTAGGGTACTCGGTAAACAGATGAGCAAAGGATGACCTTATGTGGAATCTTGTACTATAACAAATTTTAGTAGTTTTCAGGCATGCCACTGCAGATTTTTGCTGCTCCAAGATGGCATGATAATTGACAGCTTTCGAACATGAAAATGACTAATCCAAATCCAGATTCAGAACACACAAAAATACTGTGACCTTTGAGCGAGCAACAAATATGGTCAAATTTTTTTACGAAATGTCTGTAGTACACTTACGTCCCAGTTGACTTTTTTTAACCTTTTGGACACTAAGGCTAACTGTCTAATTATCATACAAGGATCCGGTAAATACTAACATTTGTCGAGAATTTTTATTGGTACTCACGTTTAGAGGTGCACACTTTAGTGGTAAGAACTTTTGAAAAAGTTTGAGAAACTCAAAAATAGTATACTTACCAAAAAACTACGCAAAGTTGCTAATTCCCTCCTTGTATGTGTTTTAAAGGTTACGCAAATTTTGGGAATTTGGTGTTAAACATTTTGGGCACTTGGATTAATCAAAAGAAAGGTTTGATTTGAGTCTGCTCAATTTTTTTTTATATTCTCGGACCGGTTTTTCATGTTACCGTTAATTTAATCTGACAGTTAGCTTCCGTGAAAACAAATGTATTCACGAAGGAGGCTATCCATCAGATAAGTTTAACTAACATGAAAAACTGACCATAAGAATGCATATTTTGTCATTGCTGTAATTAGAGCACAAGGAATCAAAGGAAAAAGACAAAAAATCACACAAGAAAACAGAACAAATGCTGCCCCAATGAGAACCTGAAGGCAGCAATAACACTGATTGTCAGACTACTTGAAATGTACTTCAGGCATTAAAACTTTTTCTATAATTAAGCAAAAACTAAAAAAAAGTTAATCAAACATGTACAGGGTGGCCAACTAAGAATGCGAGGCATTGTATCTGAGAACCTATCCATCGCAGAGGCTTGCGTTAAAAAAATTTCTTACTAAAACGGCCACGGGCAAAACCTGGAAAATATTTTTAAGTTTCTGAAATGACTGCTATCTGGAATCTAAAAAAGTGATATTTCTGTAAATTCCGCTATATTAACCTAACAAAAAACTGTCCAGCCTTTGAAGTTGACGATAATCTGAACAATTTTTGTTTGACAATTTTTCCTGTATCTCTAAAAATGAAGTGGTGGGGGGTATTCAAAGGTTTCCGTAAAGAACACCCTGTATCTTCGAAACGGCTGAGCCGATTTAAACAAACTCTGGTTAGTTCAAAAGAGCTATTCTTCAGCTACAAATAAAATACTATTTGAAGTTTTGTTAGTTTCACATATCACCGCTTGAGGGCTTTTTTCGACATTCCGACAGAAATGGTTAATTTTCTCAAAAAATTAAATGCATGCGGCTATTGCAGAAACTTAAAAATATTTTCCAGGTTTTTCTCGTGGCCGTTTTAGTAATAAATTCTTTAACCGCAAGCCTCTACGATGGACAGGTTCCCAGATACAGTACCTCGCATTCTTATTTGGCCACCCTGTACATTGAGAAACTATTGTAACGAATCGGTTCCCTTATTTTTCACTAAAAATATTCAAATTTGATAATGCACTATTTTGTATGATTAGCTTATAGTTTAATTACACTCTATTAGATTGAGATAACAATCGAAATCCTTGCATGGAGACATTGTTACTTGATGTACTACCAAAAAATAACCAACTTTCAAGCACCGTACTGGTATGTGTATATGAAGCAGACGTCTCTTCCAAAACTACTTTCACTAGCTTAGCAATATGCTAAGAAAGATGTCAAAAAAACGACCGTGTATTGCATTTAGTTATTAGAGAAATAGAAACTATGTACAACTTATATCACAAAAGCTACATCAATAATTTACTTATGACAGTAATGCATACCATAAAACAGATTTATATATAAAAAGCATCGACACCATTTTATTAAACTGAGATGATCACTGGTACCCAATACCAGAAAGCAAACTTATGTACTTCCATCAAGGATACATAATACTTCTACGTAAACTAAAACTGTTAATTGAAACATATTGCAAGCGAAGTTAATGAAGGAAGAAGTGAAAAGGAAACAACGACTATTAGATGACTCAATCAATGTAACATAAAGCTAAGACAGAGATATAATAGCTTTACCTAAAACGATAACAGAATTTTTTTGTTTACTTAATTTTAAATTTTGGTAATAGTCAATATAAATTTTCATATTTACAATATTCGGACAATTTTTTAAAAATTTATTAAAAATAAAATTTATCTTTTACTAACATTACCGTAAACTACAAATGATCGTTCCTGCCATTTTTAAAATCGGGTTGGCTACCACCGCTACGATTAATTTCGTCGAGTGCGGCGGAAACGTTTTTGTTAACGTTATAGTTTCCGTCGCACATTTGGCCTTCGAAAGTAAAATTATTCTTATTGTCACCTATTAAAACGTCGCAACTCAAATTTGTATCGTTAACGTTGAATATATCTACGTTATCGTACATTTCGTCGTGATTCTCCGCAGTTTGAAAATAGGGTACGTTCGGATTAACCTCATCCTCGGCGGATAATTTCTCTTTTATCGGCTGACCGTTTAGCAAATAATCTTGGCCGTGATTGAATGAGAAGTTATGATTGGGTGCTAGAGGTGTGGAGGGATAGGATCGGCGATTTCGCGGGAAATGAAATTTGGATACCGAACCGGGTACTGGTGTGGTCGGCACGGATCGTGACGGATTGCATTTTAACGAAGGGTTGAGTTCGGACTCGAGATCGAGCTCGATACTTTGAGAGCGCCCCAGCGTTCTTAAGTTCGGCAGCACGTTCACGTGGCGCTGCGTCACCTTAAACTGCTGCACATTATCGTAGCATTCGCCAGGTAATGGTAAATCCATGTGACCGCCCACATTATGAGCGCCAACGGCGTTCGGATTTGTAAATGTGTTTAGTTCGGAGGGCGTTTTCATTGTGTCTATGGTGTTAAGAATTTTATTCATGTTAAGATTTTCGGTCGCGTTAAACGAATCGAAATCGCCAAATTCGTTTGTAACGGTAGGAGCTTGGGTCGAAAACGGAAACTGAGATTGGTAATAGTTCTCTTGAGCCGGTGAAAGCAAATGCTGATTTGATTTCAAAGACATTTGATGTAAAGGAACAGACTGTGATCGGTAGCTCGCCTCAACATTTGAAGGAGGACCTTGACTCGACAACAGCTGAGTGATTTCGGCCGATAAATTATCGCCGGCGTGCGGTTGATAGCGGGACGAATAGGGTGGTTTGTTATTGAGAAGCTTTTGAAGTAAGTTCGAGTTTCTATTTTTCATCATTTTGGGACTAGGCGGGGCCGACATGGGTAAGTAACCGTGAATGGGAAAATTATGGATTTCGTTTGAATCGGAGATTTGATTGATCATTTTATCTGGATCGTGCGAAATGTCGACCTCTTGTTTAATTTTCAAATTAGTTTTGACAGAAATAAGCGATTTTTGAGCGTTTGCGAAATTGAACGCGCCGCTACTAGAACTGGGTTGATTAACAATATACGACGAGTTAACATTTTGGTGTATATTACCTTTGGCTTTTGGAACAGGAGTGTTCCTTGGACTAACAAATGGACTTGCGTTAGTACTCGAGCACTTCGACTGCCTGCCAGTTGGCGACATGGGGCCCGGTGAAATCGGAGTGAAATTGAAGTTTTTCCTACGCGTGTTTGGACTTGGTGGAACTGCATCCTCAGGATGGTAGGTTTCAAAACTTACTCTTCGCCTTGCGCCTTCGCTAGTGTAATTACCTCCGTCAAAGCTTTTGGGGTAACACTGTGCCATATTCTTCTGACTCGCTTTTATGAAAGCGCTTGCGTTAGAATTTAGAACTGGCACGGTGTTCAAACCTCCTTGCGCGGTATTGGATTCTAAATTTTGCTGCGTAATAAGAAGCTGACGCAGTTGCGTCAACTTCATTGACATATCCTGATCGGAGGACTGATCTTTGTTTTCAAAGTATTTAACGAGCTCCTCTTCGTGCTCTTGACTGTTATTAGCACCCAAATAATCGTCTAACGCCGATTTGTCGATTTCGGCGACGCTCATCAGCCGTTCTCGCGCGAAAAGTGCCTCGGAACCGACGTCCGCCAATGATGTGAGACTATCTTCGATTTCAGTCTTCACGGGGTCTTGTAGTACTTTCTTTGTAGATTTCTGCTTTTTCTCGGAAGTAGCACCGGAGTAGTTTGTTTCTTGAGATCTATAGTCGCCAGTATAAGGTTGCTGATTACATAAACCGATATCACAAGGTTCTGATTTAGGCTGAATAGCTTTGTACTTGGCACTCTTAGGCCTTTGAGGCGACAGTGCCGGTGAAAATTTATTGATGTTACTACTTAAACGAGGTATGGGAACCTTTCCTGACGGACTTTGTCCAGGTACATTATTCGCATTTTCACTACTCTCAGGTTTATACAATTCATTCGTATACTCACATACTTGATCATTCGCAACCATTTTCTGGAAACTACTAAAGTCAGGTAACGATTGTAGATTAGCAAAATCTAATGATTTATCACAGACAGGTTGTAACTCCTCACATACACTTGCACTACTCTCACCCTCCGTTCCAGGAACTGGTGAAGTATTTGAAGAAACAGAAGGTTGCGTTTGCATCTTACACTTCTTGCTTCTGCCTTTCGATTCAATTTTTGGAGATTGCATCTGTAATAACACCAAATAGTGAAATTGTTGCACACGCATGTTACGTATTTATTTCAAATGATCGATCGATTTTAGACGATCCTTAACGATTATGTTCGCTCTTATGCATTTTCGGTAACGTAGATTATTACTACGAAAATATTCGAAAAAGCTGGCCGTTAAATTTTTCTTCGCTAGAATAGTTGATCTTTAAAATAGACGCATTATTGATATTGGTGTCTCTCCGAAGTTGTTGGAGGATTTGAGTTAACTATTCTACATAATTACAATTTGTATATCCAAATTTTGGGAGTTAAGCGTGGAATCTTAGAAGGTCAATAAAGAACCACGGACGTTTATTAACCCTTTGAATTAAAGGTATGTGTTTTTTTAAATTAGTTTTCAAATTTTGAGTTTAAATTTTTTAGGGTTTTTTTTTATTGTATACTTTGAAATTTAATTTAATTCATCTTGGATGAATGGTTTATGGGCCATTTAATTTCGTCTATCATCGAGAATTCAACAAGCAGAGCAAAATCGTTGCGATCAATTAATCACGTACATCTGTTTATGGGAATGCAGTCCGCTTATCAATAAGTAACACGGCCGCTCGCACAATAGCTGTTGCAGATAAGAATTTGGGGAAATTTGCTAATCCACATCAAGGCGTTCAAGGCTCCATCTTGTACAGTGTAAAAACACGTATGTAATCTGTTCTTTTCATACGATTTTCCAACACATTTTGATCAGCGTGTTTACTAAGAACGTTAATTAATATTTTGTTTGCGCGGATAAAATAAAAATTGCTCTGATCTCATTTTTGGGAGTCAATCCTGGAATTTGAATTAAATGGTGACAATTATCAAAACCAGATTGTGTAAATAAAGTGTTGTCCATATTTTATTTTGTATCAATGTTAAGTGGTCTTTTCGCCCTCTTTTGAGAGGTTTATTTTACTGCCCTGGAGCTAGCCAGGTCAATTTTTCTTGCTGTACTGAATTATAGAAAAAAAAACTTACGTAAGACGCACTTCGGTATAAGTGAAAAATTATAATATAGATAGAGGGTTTGTAGCAGGAGTCGACGTGAACTCCGCTAGTGGAGTCCGCGTATGGTTCACCGACCGTGCAGATATGTAGATGATGGCGACGAATAATCATGCACGCGTAGTTTTTTGTTTGAGCTGATCTTCATATTTTGTGTTATTGTTTTGTCAGTTTGGTTTTCTACCGTACCGTGACGTGAAAAGGGTCATCAGTATTCCATTTCACGGAAGTTGAATTGACGAGGAATCTGTTGCAGGTAAAATTTCTGCTACCCTTCAATTACAAGTTCAGCATCACGCCATCTTCGGGCGGCGAAGCGACTGATCAATATGATTAAAAAGCAGAACGCGCATTGAATCGACTCCACACGGCTCAACGCCGCCGATGGATTTGCTATGCAAACATTTAAATAGGCATCCACGCACTGCGTCGGTTCGGTTACGATACCCCCTTTGACGTAGGCACTATAACTTCGCTGCTACTTATAAATATAAAATGACACCTTAAGACCTGCATTTGCAACTATTAAACGAACTCCCTCTATCCATGTGAAAGTAATCACCTGTGGATACCATTATGGTCAGTCACCGTAAACACAAAAAGTGCGTTGAGTCGCAAAAAATTGCAAGGTTTTAAATTTTTGAGATGTTAGATACCAATAGTGTAAAACCAAGTTTGCAACCTTGACAGACCTGTGCTAACTTCGTGGTGCTTTTTTCAGTTTTTGGTTTACTACAACTTCTAAAGGTCTAGTCATAGCAAATCGATGCATAATCAAATTCAGCAGCCGGGCCCCAAATAATACACAAGGCGCCATATTACAAAAACAAACTTGTTTGCCCATGAAAATCGTGATTAATTTTGGACACCCTGTATGCGATAAATCAATGTGGATTTTGAAAGTATCCTCCGTCAATCCTAGAAGCGCTTGCCAACAGTTGAAAATGGGTACAAAGTGCATTAATGAAAATAAGACTACATCTTTCAAGATTACAAAAAATAAAGATATCTAAAAAAAACAGTTGATAATACATATAGGAAAAACTGCAAATGTATCACGATTTTCTCAGAAATCTATACATTAAGAATGCGAATGACGTGTTGCAATTAAAAATAAGCATGTTAGATTATGTATTGTTTAGTACTTCAATTTAATCATATGTCAATTTGACATCAATGCGGTCAGAAACAAGGATAGTATTATCGAAGAATGACGCAAACTAGTAAGAGAGGCAATTAGTCCATAAGACCCCATACTGCATCTGGAGGTGCGAACGCGCTATAGTATTTGATTACAACTTGGGCGACATGATTCTATTCCTGTACCAGGCAACATCAGTTGCTCAAATAAGTGATGTCCATAAAACATTCACATGTATCATTTCGCAATTTCAAAAATTCACCGTTACAATGCATCTAATAAAACTGTAACATGGTAACAGGCACCATATTGCTAAGTGACAGTTCTGCGGGTGACGTATCCACTAAGCTAAAGCTAAGTTTCGTTCTAATGCCACATGCTTCTTTTGTTCATAGGTTACAAACGTGAGTGTAAACATTTATCTTCCGTTGCTTAGAGTGTGGTATTAAAGCTCACTTTTTTATGAGTTATGATCTCTATATAAGAAAATGTACATGAAATATTTTTATAGTATATCTGAATACACTTTTTACCTCTTTATTATCATGCAAAAAAGGTCTCTCTATATTGTTAATGTCATTCAATGCCATTCAAGTAGGAAAAATATACTGACCTGAACCTTACGTTTCTGTTCCCGAATTATTTCATTCTTCTGCTGAATTTTGCGTTGTAATTGTAATTGTGCTTCTCTGTGTTTTGTGTTGCAAGCAATACTTGATGAAACCAAATCTCCTAAAAAAAATAGAAAGATGCTTCATTGCTATTTCTCGATGACGGTTATCGCGGATACACTGCGCGAATTTTATTTAGGAACAATGGGCGCGTTTAGCCGGGTCACTACTGTCGCAGCGCCAAGGCAACAGTCGTTTGCGCTTAACAGCGTTCGCCATTTTTTCCAGCGAAAAATACTTTCTGCTAGAATAGTCAGCGGAAGGTGGGAGTAAAAGCGCGCATGTACCGTGATAGTTAATTTACAACCTCAGCTCAGTTAATCGGCTGAAATTTGGAGCTGGAAGCAGCTGTGTAAGCGCCGAATACGGCTGAACGCGACCATTGACATCAAACGTATCGACATGAAGACAAACTTCTGTATATCATAGCATAATTATTTTATATGTATTACGTGGTATGGGCTTGGCTCTCACATAGCATCAAAAACAACATAAAAACATGTTAGCTGAATTGGGGTCATCTATATGAAACAGGTGATCGCTTTAGGCTTTAAAGATTCTTTGCTACATTTACAAATTTGCCAATATAGGAAATTTGATATGTGTACCGCTTCATAGGGAAAGAGAACGGAACTAATATGCAATAGAATGGAGGGCGTTAAGATAAGAAACAAATGTCCAAAGCAGATAAAATTCGAAACGCTACAGTGTTGCAGGTTCTAAAAACCTTCGCGATAGAGAATGATAGTACTTTCTGCTCGACTTTCTGCTATACCTTCGCATGTATAAAACAAGTGTAAAAAGTCATTATGCAAACATAAATGAAGAGAGCGTATTTCTCCTAATAATATTAATGTTAGGACCAGGAAAAAATACCGGTAGGCACGAGATCCTTACCCCATTCTCTTTCAAATGAGCTGCCTATAGTCGAAGTCCATACAGTTTAATGAAAAATGGTGGAGCATATACAAATACAATTTTGAAGTGGGCATTAGTTACTTTTATTCGAAGGGTCTACACATGAAACTTTTTTTAATGCTTTCGTAAATAGTATTGCAACAAAGTGCAGCCAATTTTTTCACTTTGAGGAAAATGCGCTAAAAACAGAGTGAACGCTTCGGCGAGTACATAAGTAAATCTGGTGGCTTTCAGGATGACGATTTATATACACTACAAATATGTCCATTTCCTTCAAATCATATTCTGATGACATTTGGCATCGTTGTGATCCATAAGAGCCTGTACTGTAAAGTACAAGTTATTAGAGGAGAAAAAAGTCCCTAGGAAAGTTACTAGATAATATAGGGCTGATTCTAAATTGTGTTGGCGGTCATAAATCTACCATCAACTTTGGAACCTGTAGGGCGGTCTGAAGGCCTGTTTAGAGTTTGCAAGTTTTATTGCGGGCAATAAATATTGCAACAAATAGCAAGTGTTTACAGTTTGCAATTTTCATTGCATAGCACCAACCCTATAACTTTAAATAAGTGTGTACAAAATATCTTCGATTTGTCATTTGCATTTAACTTGTTCTTCACTTATCTATTTATTGTGCATTTCAATCAAGATGAACAACAGAGATGTCAAAATATCTGCACACTTCACATCGTTGGTGCCATAGTAATTCTAGATGTTGGCATTAAAAACTCCTCTAAAATAGTCACCAGAATTGCAATTGTTGCAATGCAATAAAAATCGCTCCGGATCTACTTCTGGCAACAGCTGATCGAAAAGTGCACTTACGCGCATGCGTGCAATAAATATTGGCGCAATTTTTATTGCCCACAATAAAACTTGCAAACTCTAAACAGGCCTTGAGAGTGATACAATCATTCCACAGTCCAATAGAAAACCATTAATAGGGGACTGTATCTTTGCTAGTTCTCAGAGAAGTTATCTAAAGCCCCAGGAAGCGGAGCTGAAGAAGCCTCTAAGCGAAAACATTTAAAATGTGTGGATCTTCGAGCATCTGACGCAATGGGAATCTTGAAGAAAGCAAAAAATGTTTTGAAACTATTGGTTCAAAACTTAGTCACATATTTGAAGACCAAAAATCCAAACTATACCTACAGTGTGTCCATGGAATTGAGGGCACATAAGGTGTATATATATCAAATTTTTTTCGAGTTGGGTCTTCATGTTCTGAGGATCGCTCCTGCATGATCTCAAACTAAGATATTGAAAAAATGAGTAAAGCCAATTAATATACAGGTTGTTTTTTGGGGAATGCTAAAAATTAGTCAATAGTAAACTGTCTTTATTTTAGCAGATATAACAAAAATGTATTTAAAAAAGCTGTTTAGAATTAAATGTTATAGAAGAGCTTAAATTTTCATACAAATCAGCCTACTTTTAATTTTTCACCAGCAGCAAGCAGCAACCAAACTTTTGAACAAACATCAACGCTGATTTGATTAGAAATTGAAAGTCTACCATATCTGTCAAGTTGATATGTCCAAGACGTGATTGTTTTTTTACACGATTTACTGATTTTAAAATTGTTGTCTCATTTTGATAAAAAAAAAATCAAAGTAGACTAATTCGTATGACAATTGAAAGTCTTCCATAACTTTACTCCTGACTAATTTTTAGAATTCTGAATAAAACGAGGCAAAAAAAAACCCTGTATTCATTTGACTATTTTTTATCTTAGTTTTGAGACTAAGCAGGAGCGATGCTCCTCGCGATTCTCAGAACAAGAAATTCCAACTTCCAAAAATTCCAATTCCAAAAATTGTCATATACTATGTGCACTCAATCCGTGGACACACTGTATATAACAATACATGGAAATGCAACTAGGATTTTAGAAACTGTTACAGAATTAACATCAGTGGAAGAAATTTTTAATTTGTAATCTTTTTTTCATTAAATACTACAATTTCATTGAAATAGAGGTAGGTTCAAAATTGTCAATGTAGCGCCTCTTTACCCCTTACCTTTAAAGTAGCCTTTATTAGACGACGTAATTACAGATGCAGCAGTAGAACCATTCCCAACAGAAAGGTTTACAACTAGATAATATGCGAGTGAATGAAATGATGAAAACTGCATGCCGAGTTGTTGCTCCGACCACTCTCTAATTATTGTCCATGCGGCAGACAGAAGTTCTTCGGAACTTGATACAAATTCAGAAGACTGTGAATGAGTAGAAGTGTACTACAAAACAGTGACAACTAAATTAATTAAACTCCCTACCTGAGGTTTATCACCCAGATCGGGTAACAAAGGAGCATCTAACTTATACCGACGACGTAATCCCGCATAGCAATATCTCGAGTTTCCTCTCGTCCCCAAACGCCTAGGTCGCACACGAGGATACACTTGTTTCATGACCTTTCCAAAATCAGCCGTCGACAACGGCTTAATTTTGTTAGGGCCACAAAAGGCACTAAGTAAAATAAGTTAAATAAAAAACCCCCTCATTATGGCAATTACTTACTAATATTCATTATATACGTCCTGTTTTGGCAACGAAAGCTCAGGATCCTCTTCAAGATGCGTCTTAATCCACATAATAGTCTGACTTATTTCCGATCTGCTGCCCAACGGATTTAACGGCTGTCGAAGCGGATCCCCTACATTGCTATATTCCGTCGGTAATTTTAAATACAGCAATAGATGTTCGGTGGGCGTTAACACCTTCACCTGTTCCAAAATGTTATCGATCGTTTTTCTCGAAATTTCGCTAAAACCGTAAAGTTGAGAAAACACCCAAAACAAAAATCTAACCTAATATCCGCCTCGACAGCCTGCTGGATTTGTGAGTTACGTTCGCTTCTACTCTGCGGACCCTTTCCATTGCTATGCTCCTCTATTCTGTTGTTATTTTCGGCCAAATTTGTCGAAATATTTTTCAAATAATTATCTGGTCCATCTAGTTCCATTGCCATATCTTCCAAATTTTTGGACGCCTGTTTTTCCATACTTGCCTGGGAATTTGAAGGAGGTATTTTCTATTTTTTTCATGCTTTTGAGAACATCTGCGACTGTTACGGGCTGCGATAAAAAAACATTTTATTAACTAAAATCAGCTGGAACGTCCATAAAATAAATTCGCTGCTTCCAATTTTTTTATGACGTAATTTGGAAATCGTCCACTTTCGGCTCATGTTCGGCCCATTATTTTCCAGTGTACCAACCGAAATATTATATAACTCCTAGGAATTCCCTAAATTTATTTACACAAGGATGACATAATCTTGATAAAGTACATAAAGCAAATATAATTATGTATAATTACAGCGTGTTATGGAATAAATTAGCATAATTAAGTGTTTTTGATTATTTAAAAATTTACCAAAACAGTCGCAGTTCAGAGTGTCATGTTTTTATTGATATATAGAGTATGTCAACTTTTTTGTTCATAATTTCACATCTCTGCATTGTATTGGTACGATACAATCAAATTGCTTTACCCGAATTTAGGGACAAGAATTGAATTTATACCCAATTTTTTTTCAAAAATTGATTTACATTTTTCCGTTTTATAATTATACAGGGTATCCTAAGATACAGTACCGTAGCGAGCTTTTCCTACGCTCTGTGCAAAAGAATAACCTTTCCCCATAATTTTCTTTAGCCTAAATAAATACGTATATGTATTTTTATAAACTAAGGGTGTAAATATTTTGAATGTACCATCTGAGCATATCGTCAATTCAATAGTAGGTACTCATCAAAGAAGTTTCAGAAATAAGTAAAAGGTAAGCATTTCTTGCGATGTTATGGTATAGTACCTACTTACTTATATTTCTGAAAAATATATGTATGCATTTATACAACCTGTTTCGACAATGCATCCCCAAATTTATATATTGGGCTAATGGGTCTCCCAAAAAATAGATATTTAAATGCGCGTTTTTTTAACGCAATCAAAACTTGAATGTGCATAGAAATAGTAGAAACCTTAATAATAATAAAGAATAATTTTGTTTTTTATAAAAATACAAATAATTAGTAAACCAGTAAAAAAACGTAACCTCGGAATTTATGTAGACACTGTTTCCAAATAATAATACTAATCATTTCCATGACTTGAAAATATATTGTTGTGAACGGCTGTATATTGTATCAGTTATTTTGTGTTCTAGGCATCTGAAATTTTTGCGCCTCATAAACATAGCATTGGTTATACACACTCTGGCAACTGGTGTGTATAATGAATGCCTATAGACTATGACTATGCCGGAAATCAATAAAACTTTTGTTTTTGAAATGCAATGCCTATGTTTTTTTTACGATATTTGAAAAAAGCAATCAATTTGCTGTACCTACGATGAGATAACAAAAGTGATCTTTGAATATAAGGTTTTATTTTCTTTCAATCTGAATGTTATTCCTATTTTGATTTGTTTGGGATTGGTCAGTTATTAATTTCCATTTGATTATTTAGATCGATTAGCGACTTCAATTCGTTGTGTACGAATCTGCCTTTTTTCAATGTAATTTACTATTTCGTCCGTGCAGAGGTAGATGCCTAAGTGTTATTAGCCGCATATAATCTCTAAATACAACTTATTAGTCTAAGGACCGTATCCAGGACCTTCAGATACTTTCTGGACTGGAGGGTCCTGCTAATTAACGAAGTGTTTCATTTACTGTATGTAAGAGTTTTCGGAATGTTATTCTTTCACAAATGTCAAATGGGAAAGGTTTGTATAGTTACATTTAAATCTAGTTGAGATGGCGGCATTCTTTTCCTTATCGTTTGGCTTTATATTAATTCTGTCTAAATTTGTAGGAACTTTTTTGAGGAGTACCTGATTCATTGTATCTCTTGCTCTTTTACTCGTGAGTCGTGACCCACTGCGCCGGACGGTGTGTAAGCTATACGAGAAAGAGGGGTTCTCTTATTACCATTTCTCCTATTTTTCATTTGCTTGTGCGATAATAAACTTTAACATGAATAGTGCTGGCATTATGTCACTTGTAGGTATACTTTCCGTGTTAAATTTTACTAGTTGCTTGAAATAAATTGAACCATTAGATGTGTTTTGTACTTGATTTGATTTATTGTACTTTGTGTTTGTTTTTATGAATTTGTTTAGCTGCATTTGATTTGATTACCTGATTTTTGTCGTACAATTTGAGATGTTTTATTTCCTTATTGTTGTGTGAGTAATATATTTAATTTGTTCTTGTCTTAAAATTCTGCATTTTATTCAATTCCCTGCCCAATTATGTCTTCATCTCAACACATAGAAGAACCGATTACACAATGTAGTTCATTTGTGCCATCCATATCGAGTGATTGCTATCGCTATTCGACTGATGGCTTTGTCGCTTAAACTATCCGTCTTTAATATTTGCTCATAGTTTTTTTCCAGAGCTGTAAGTATACTAATGTAGTTTATTTGTGCCATCCATATCGAGTAAAAACAAAGATAAAGTGTATTATCTTTGGTCAAGATTAAAGTGCCGGTTTGGGGGACCCCTATGATTATTACAACTGCTTGCATTTTCAATGTATTTTTTCGTGTTAAATTAATGGAAGCCTATGCTGCAGTAGAGCGATGCCCATTTTTGATGTGTTTTATGTACATGCAATTTATCATTTTATAAGTTGTTTGTCTAAATCAATCACTATTTGTACTAATTTGATTTATCTTGTTTTTCATGTGTATTTATGATGTCTCTTGTGTTTCGCTGTCATTATAATTTGTTTAACCTCATTTTTATTGTGCGAATTGTGTTTGTGTTCCAACTTCTGGAACAGGACCCAATGGGGCTACATTAAAATGATTTTGAAAGGGTTGTTGAGTTGGGATAAAAAAACATTAGGTGGAAAAATAGGCCTTGATGACAAATGAACAGTGATGACTGACCGATGTAGGCAACAGAACTTTAACCTCACTTATCAAATAAGACCACATCCTTTCCTCTACCACCTATCTAGTTTGAATAGCTTACATTTCAAAAAAGGGACGTAATGGTGTCTTTTACACCAAACCACCGTATCACAATAATGGATACAAACCTGTCTTCTGCATTGTGAGTTTTCAGATTGTCCAAATATTTACACTGAACAGCAACACGAAGCTAAATAAATGTTAACAAAGATCGTGTGTAGAGCCCAACCGAGTTACGATTTTTGGTAAGTGGACAATAATAAAACGGCGCAAAGTAAAATTTTTTATTTTTTTTTCTTGGCCCTGTAGTCATTCTCTATATGAAATTGTATTAGGTTGCTAACAATCTTTCATTGTTTATAACTGTAACAATTTATTTAACAAAATAAAAAACAAGTTTCTAGCCAACACTAATAATAACCATAAAACTTAATTTACATTAAATAAGTCTGCAATGCATCACATCACAACATCCATAGAATGTTATTATATGGAAAATGAAATAATAAACTATATTTGAGATCACACTTATAAAATGTATAGGTTTGACGTTCATTTTATAAGTAGATCGCCACGTTTCAGAAACAAAATACAAAAAATGTGACTAACCACAATTTATTGCACTAGATTTCACTATCTACTTCATAGATTTTGTATTTTCTATTTTGATAGTCGAATATCTTATATTAATGAAATATTGTAGATACACAATAGTCATAAAGTTTGTATTTGCTGTAATGCCCATCTGTATCTTACTTATAGTCATCTTCATTCGGAATGTGTCAAAATAAAATAAATTAAATTTGAAGTACGGCAAGTATCCAATAACCAGGTATCAAATTTAGTAGTGTACGACATAATAAACGCAAGATGATCAATGATTTAGAAATAAAATGTATATACAGATGACATTAAGCAAGTTCCAAGTGCTGCATAGAGATGAACTTTAAAGGTAAATAATACATTTCAATTTGTGTAAATCCTTTTGTTAACAATCAACATGAGCTAATCCACATGATTATGTCATTAATCGGCAAATACTATACAAGAAAAATTACCACAAAAACTATAACAAAAACGCAAGCCGATATATTTACTCGCTAATTTCGTACATTATCTATTTTTGAATTATGTTCAACGCGAATAAATAAAACCAACAAATAGTATGATGACATGATCGACACCGTATTTTTGAATGAAATAATTCTCTTAAAACATGAAACCATTAAAAACAAAATGCATGTATAGCACTGCTTTCAATTTTATTTTAAATTATGATATCACTTACAATATTTCCAATAATATTGTAAATTTTATTATATTGCTCTACTAAACCCTACCAAAATGTATACCCTCCGTCAGAGCCACCTGTCAGGAAGGAACTCTTTTTTTGACCTAAAGCAACTTGATGACCCGCCATTGCGGCTAACTGTGCCGCGTTCGGTGGCACTCCAGGTGGTGCTGGCGGTAAAACTTGTTGAGCTATCCCGTCGAACCTTGCACCCGCGTCGTATCCATTCTAGTAAAACAAAGAGTACAAATTAGACCTAGCAGAAAACGGACACTACAAAAAATATGTCCAAAAACTTCTTTAGCATAAAAATGGGATTTCCGTATAGATATGCCAATTGTTCGAGCAAACATTTTAAATGGAATTATATCTGGTTTTGCCTCGAAATTTTGGAATATCATCAACAAATTATGATAGACGCATATTTTTTAAACCCAACACCTGATTTTTAAACGAATTTGTTCCATATTTTACCCACTCACTGGATATTCGATAGATATATAGCCTACAGCCACTAAATCTGAGCGAATATATGTGAGATAGCTAACAGTAGAATACTGATCATGCGCACTGAGTTGCCATTTCTTTAGAGCAGTGGTTCCCAAACTTATTTCTATGGCGCCCCTTTTCATAAAATTAAAATTCTTTACGCCCCCCTATCTTGATTAAAAAATAAAAACTGCTGTTACTACATATTTATTAAAAAAATTACAGGGTGAGTTTTTTTTTCGTTTTCACTATGGGGACTCAGAAAACCGTAAAGGATACAAAGCCGCTTAATGGACAACGTTATGCAGAATTTTCTGGTGATTAATTTTCCCTTTAAAGTTTCTTGTAGGTCTATAAATAGCGAAGTTATATCCAAAAACAGAAATAGGTAATTTTCTGATGGTGCTAAAAACATTGTTATAACTTATAACCCTTAAAATAATATGTATGTACTAGAGCATAAAGAGGTTTACGGTGCTGTAGTTCACACCAGGCGTATTTAAAATTGGATTTGTACCTGGTGACAAAATTACACCGGTCACATTTTAAATCCTTGGCAGGATCCATGTCTTGATAAATTTTAGACAATAAGATGTGCTTTAAGCTTGGATTTATGCTGGGTGAACCCACTGGGTACACTTTAAATCCTTGGTGATCTTGTGTGTCAATAAATGTGTTTTATAATTAGATTTATCACTCGTTGCATGGTCACATTGGACACATTTTAAATTCTTGATAGTCTCGTGTTAAAATGGTATTGCGCATGTGCGTTGTTCTACTTATGGTGCAAAATCTATCTCTATCTGTGTTAGGTATATTGGCACATGTGCTCCTTATTGAAAGTAAATAGGAGGCTATATCTATGTATATACTTAACGATCTAAGGATTTAGCTAAGAATCTAGTATTAAATGATGGCGCCTTACTGGAATCATTATTGTTGGACGTAACTGTGCATGCTGCATTGGATACGAGTAAGCGCCCAATGAAGGATAATATTGCATTGGTGCGTATGTGGGATATCCTAAATATGTTGGGTATCCTGCAGCTGCTGCGTACATTGTGGCCCCTGGAGGGTACACCTAAAACAAAAAGCAAACAAATTATGATATAATGTTTACAGTTACCTTATACTGGACATTTTTTATGCGATTCACTTTTGCAAGATTAAGTTCATTAATTTGAATCATCAAACAGAAAATTTATTCCGTGTGGAGTTTGAAAAGTTTACTTTCTTGTTTATGGACAGTATTAGTTGCGTATGGCTACCCTGGTGCAACCGGAATCATGACGGATATTGAGTGTCAACATTTGCACACGTGTGCCTTAGGATCCAATAAATGATTTATGGTGTGTGAGTGCAACAACCTTCAGAGAGGTAGTTTACATCAGTCATTTATAATTCATAGTCTTTACAATGCACCGTACTTGCAAAGCTTTGATGCTCTGAATACAGTGTAATGACCTTCATCATGTTTGTGAAGTTCAAAAGGTCACTCGGAGGTGATATTGAAAAGTAGATTAATGTCAAGTTTGGCGTCTGGCTGTGACCTTCGAAAGTAGGTGAAACAAAAGTGCGTTAGGTCGTTCACCCCTAAGCATTTCCGCCTCTCGGGTGCCACCTGGTGACATCAGGAAATAAGTCGAAGCCTTGTTCGATCGGTCGTTCACCCCTAAACCTCTCCCTCTTTCCAGGTGTCAGGTGGAAAGTAGATCAAGACCGCGTTCGGTCATTCCTTCCAGCAAATTGGTTCAAAATATGCTACAATACATAAAGTATCCTTATATGATATCATAATTTTTCTATGCTGGATTTTACATTTTTTTGACCTTCAGTATGAATGATCGCTCATATCCCATAATAAAACGTAGAAATGCATTCTGAGTGACATGCTATCTAGTACATGCATATCGCCACTTGGAATGGCAATCAACCTTTGGACTTTGAACCGTGAACAAATTTTTGACTTTAAATGGCAACCAAGCTTTCCAAGAGCTAACACGTATTTTACCCTCCTCATACCAAAAGTTTCAAAACGTATTTCAAAATACGCCCCCTTGGATGGCAAATGAAACCTGGTGATTTTAAGATTGAACCAACTCCTGAGGGTTAGGATCGATACAGTGGGTGGGCTAAGCAAGTACCTTTCACTGAAAACATGGAAGAACAACGAATTCTGATGGGGGTTGCACTTACCAACCTTGGGCGGAATCATCAGCTCTTTCATTGGTATGCCGCTTTCGACCGAAATATGAGGTATAGCAAGCAACCGCATTCACAGCAATTTTCTTGAAATTTTACAAAAGTTGAGTACATGGTGATGGTCCAAAGTGGCTGTTCACAAAGAGAAGGGGTATGACTATCAACTGCTTACCAACTTATGGAAGACAAGGATTGGGTAAAATGAGTTTTGCTCCTCTTGGAATAAAATCTAAAAATAAGTATCCCTTTCATTATAAAACAATGTCAAAGTTTTATTATGTTCTTGTTACGATAAGACAAATTAAAAAATGACATCAAAATAAAATTCAAAACAGAGCCTACAGACGTATAGATATGCATATCAACTTTTATTAATTGAATTGAACTTTTGGGCGATTAAAACCATTTTTTATTCTTTTTTTAACGTAATAACCTATAATCAGCTAATTACCTAATTGTATGATTAAAAATCTTACAACATTAAAAAAACTCTTTCTCATTGTTAAATTTACCTAACAATTATGAAAACTTGTATACATATTGAAGGATACACATTAGATAAATTGTACTAAAACATGAAAGATAGGCTCTTAATAATATCCAATATGGCGCCAACTTAGTTGTTATTCCTCATTCAGATTACCAGATATGTGGGATTCAAAATCCGAAGAATTAACTGTGTTGTCAGAGGGGGGGGGGGCAAGTACGTGGTATCAGGGAGGTAATTTATATTCAGTGTACATTTTTGTCCTTATTCTCTGAAAAAAGTGCCCATAGAAGATGCTAACGGGAACCGTCCATTTCCGATTGTTTAAGCTTTTTCTATATTTACATTTATACAGGGTGAGTCAACGATTGCGCGGAGTAACTTAATGCCTTGAATATAAGATTTTTCGATAGAGTGCTTTTGTATTATGATATGGTTGAATATTCTCCACATTTTAAAAATATTTCGAATTATACAGGGCGCGCCCACAATATAGGGCGCCAAAATGGCACATTTTTTTAAATAGAACCCCCTGTATTTGAATGCATTTTTGAATTCTACGTGTAATTGTACGTCTTTTTTATTATATGGTCTTATCAATAAGGCATATTATTCCACCACAGAATGTATTCACGATGGGTTTAGTAATCTCTAATTGTTAGTAATTTGTTTATTTATTTATTTGCTTTTTGTTAGTTGATATACGTTGTTTGTAATCTCTACTATATATTTTTAGATGAATGTAAGCGCTTTTGCGTAGTAACATGAAAAATAAATATTATTATTATTATTAATATCCGAAAAACTAGTCGTTTTAAAGATAATTCGATTTGTAAGAAAAATTGGGCATTTGCAAGAATAGGTATAGGACATTATTATCAAAAGTTGAAGGTTTTTGGAAGACCTAAAAGATAACAGAAAAACATACAGGATGTTCCATTTAAAAAAAGTGAGTTTTTTAATATGAAGTTTAACAACTTTGGACCTACCAAAAAAAAACACCCTGTAAGCAATTTTTTTAATATTTCATAGTACATGTATTTATTTGACTTAACCCAGGATAAAACATATAAAACCTGGAATCAAAATTTAAGTAATAATTTTGATAATATACTGACGCACTCGCGATTGACTAAAGCGTATTTTTTAGACCTACTTATCGAACCTTCAATGGGCACTCGTAATTGCTTTTCTCAGAAACACGTCATAAAAATAGCACCATAAACAAGAAAATCAGTTTTGCACATGCGCAAATCCATTTCATAGTATGTCTACTGCACACTTTTATGAGAAAGTATATCTTATTCGACATTCTTTTTTCTTTTCACCCACTCTACGTATTGAAACCTACTAAATAAAAAAACCCACAACCTTCTACAAGATCCAAGTGCTGAGATCTCAAACCCTCCAGATGGCCGAGCGGATACAATTCACTCAAGTACAACCTGTATTTTTCATGAAAAATACGCTAAAAAACAAAATGACGACTGAGTCAAAAAACCATAAGACAAAAAAAGTTCATGCTAAAATATGCACATTCACATCACATTTTATTTAAGAAGGTAGATCAAACCTACCTTTTAAATTACCCAGCATATTTAGGTACCGTGACAACATTGAACAAAACGTAAACCCACTCAGGTTATAGTAGGATTATAATTTTACACAAATTTGGAAAACAGGAAACAGTTTTCCAAATTATTCAAATATTCTCACAAAACTTTGTCTTGATCTACATACCTCGAACAAAGCCTCCTGTCCTACATTACATAGGTTACAAAATACGAGTATTACTGTCAAACCAATGTTCTGCATCACGGCACCTAGGAAACCATTTATCGCGAAGCAGTCTCATTGCATGCAATACATACAGTGTGTCCCCGGATGGACTGAACAAGAGGGAAAAAATTTTTAATTTTACGCAGAAATGTCATTCTTTTTCTTAAGCTCTAAGGTGTCTTTTTTAACTTGATTTGCTTATCAGGTTGCCATGGAAGATACAATGATAGTCTGATTTAATCAAAAACATGCAACTTAGAAAAATTTCCGCTGGGGATTTTGCGTTTTTTGTCATTTTCTCAGCTGCTAAAAGGAATATCTAGATTTTTATTTCAGAATAGGTGTTTTTGAGGCAAGCAAAATTTTTTATAAAGAATGACATTTTTGCGTAAAGTTAAAATTAAAAATTTTGGTTCCCTCTTGTTCAGTCCATCTGGGGACACACTGTATATGTAACATGTCCAATATTTTTCTCAGAACTCTCTGATACTGCTGATAACTATTGATCCTAATAATATTTAGATGGAATTTGTAATAATTTGAACCATGACACCCCACATAGTGAAATAAGTTCTTTAATATTATTGATATGTTGATCTTTGAAAATGAAGCAATCTAGATAAAGATTATGGTCAAATGTTAATACAAAAACGTGAAGGGAAGATACTTACGGGTTGACCCACAATAGCGGGATGTGTCAAAGCTTGATCATATGTCGGCGGCGGTCCTTGGGCATATAGCTGTTGTCCAGGCACCATATATGGAGCTGCTGCAGGAATTCCAGGTAAAACTGCAAAACATTAGCTAGTTAACTTTGGGCCACGCACTGCTTTTTCACATTACCCACCTTTAACGGTCGAGTTTAAAGCAAATTCGAGTACAGGAATTTATATTCAGTACTTAGGCTACAAAATACTTATAGACACAACGTGACAGTTAAGGTTGGGAATTACAAACGTAAAATTTACCTCCGTAAGGTTGTGGAGCGGCTCCACCAGTATTAGCTTGTGGTGGGCCTCCAGGTATTCCTGGCGCCGCTGCGGTAGGTGGCAATATATTTCCTGTGGTATTAATTCGAAATTAATTAACCTATACCGTATGATACACGAAAGAGAAACAAATAAGCACTCAGATGCAGTTTTTGTGCCATATCAATGTTATTTTACAGCTATATACAATTAATAGTGATTATTATGAGTAGTGATAGGACACAAAAATAGTTTTCAAGACCACGACTATACTATACATTAGCAAGTGAACAAGAACATAAAACTGTTAATACCCATTTCGGTATCGCTTCATTTCAATTAATTTTAACTCATTTTAATTCATTAATGCACGTGGTAGCACATATCTGTTTATTAATAAACGTAAGTAATTGGTGTGTTTTAAAAGCAATTTAACTTTCAGACAAAAAAAGTTTTGTCAAATTGGCCTTGTGAGGCCAAGATTTCCCTTGGAAGGGTTCAATTATTATTCCGCTGATGTCTGAGGGATCCAAACTTGACACTTCAGTAATGTTCAATTGGTAACAAAAACTTCTGTAACTACTACTACTACTATAGGTTGGTCCAAGGGTTGATCTGTCATGGTTTTTTAAAATATTTACCCAAATCCTTGCCAAACATGGCACATTTAATCAAATGCGGCTTGATCATAATTATAATTCATCATAGGAATTAAACCCCTTCATTCACTCTAATCTAATGTAAAGTGACTTTGTGCTTGTACCCTTTAAAATTATTTTAGAATGTTTGTACTCCCTCCTCTTCACAAGATGGATAAAGCGCGTAAGGGCGGTGGAAGTGGGGACAAGTCAAAGAAGTTTGTCCCAAAATGTTATAAATGTGGCAAGTTAGGACATTATAAGCGGGACTGTAAAAGTTTCAATTTGGTCTAAACGAGGATCAGGGAGAACTTTCTGTGGTCACATTGAGGATCTTACGGAGGTTCAAAAACTTTGTTAAGATCCTTTTGAAAGATCCAGGGCACTGAGGACACTGAGACTTCCTTGTGTCTGATGATATATTTATAAATCACTTAGGATTCCGCGAAATAAGTTGACTGATTTATTGAATGTACTTTAATAAGTATGGTCACTACTATACAACTTGTTCGAGGTCGTGCTGTATACCTTATCCTACACAAGTCTGAAGGAAACTGAACTCTGGCGACGCCGATACTCTTTTATAAAAGGAAAGAGCGCACAACACTCTTAGTTGTTAATTCTAACAGTGTCAGATAGACGTCTACCGCGGGTGAGACTCTCACATGTTTTCTGAACACACTTTCCAGGCACTGGAGAATACATAACTTCGGACCCACCAAAAGAAGCTACCCAGGTTGGTATAATGTCGATGAACTGAAAAGTAGCTGCCCGGATGGTTATCGAGGGATCTTTGAGATGGGCGGTCAACATGTTCAGTCCATTTAAGAGCGCAGGATCGAACAGGAAATTTCTGGCTCTTCTACAGAAGGGCCTGGAACCATTGTTACATTTGTTGCACCGATTTAGGGCCTCTCTGGTTTAAGGGTATATCCCCGAAAGCTGAAGAAAGGGAAGTACCTACCTAAGTCGGGTCGTGCAAAATATGACATGGCGAAGGATTATAGGCCAATTAGCCTCATTTGGATTGTTATAAGAAAACGAGGAAATAAAGTTTATTATTATTATTTGTTTCTACTAAAAACGGGCGAGAGGGGAATGTCTGCCGGGGGTCCCAACGCGGACGGAGCGTGCATATTGTCACGTTAAATTAAATTCCTTATTATGATTAATTACAACTGTTTACCATTCAATTCGTGAAAGATTTGTTTATTTATTTCACCACAATTTAAAAAAAAGCGAGATTTTTTCGAGGATTTTTTGATATGAAGTTTTCGCGGAAGTTTTGTAACTTTAGACCGACAAAGAAAACACCCCGTAATAATTATTAATGAATTTGTTAGCGGTCTTTAAATGACTTATTACAATTATTATTTATCACTTATTTGTACTCAAATTTATGATACGAGCGCAAATTTCACTATTTATCATTTGGAGCTAAAATTAAACACAGTCCGTTGCAATTCAACTCAGCATATCATATTTCACATGAGTAACGCCCGTTTTTTTATTCTCTATCGCCGATCGACTTGATGGCGCCTTGATATCGCTCTAGAAAATTCGCTACAATCTCTTGTTTTGAGTAGTACACCAATTACTTAAAGAATTCTGTTACAATATAATAATGAAACCCACAGTGCATGAATGAACGATGACGTTTATTATTCTAAAAACAAAAAATACGAAAAAGTTTAATTAATTAATTATTAATTTCCGTCTAAAACAGTACATTCTGTTCTAACTAGGTCTCGATGAAAAACATGAAAGAACGTTTACTTTTCCATTACTTCGTACATCTATACATATGAAATTGAAAGCAAATAATGTGTATCTCGAGACTTATTATTACATAAATTGAGATTCTCTGATAAATACTAAAGTTACATGCAAATACAGACTTTCTCGATCACTTCAATTTAACTTTTGATTATCTCAAGCAATATGGGGAAAGCCTGCACGAAATTGTTCAGTGCAAAAAAAATTCTAACAGCGTATATTTGCAAATACATATTAATGGAAGTTCTTTGTTCACCTGCGTACATATTATCGCTGAATCTTTAGCATACGCATGTACTTGCAAATATTGTAAATAATATATAAAGCTCTATCTACAACCAAATAAAAACATCCGGGTATTATTTCGACAAATAGATATTTCTGCCGAAACAGTTATGTTGTTACGAAATAATTTCAAGCAGAGTAAATTATTAAATCTGGTGCCCTTGTTAAAACTTGTGGAAAAATTGAAAGGCACCAATAAGAATTGAAACTACCCTAATCGTATGAGAATGAGTCTCATCTTATCGCTATAGTTAATTTCCAAACAAATTGCATAGATGGGGCCAAATAGCTTCTAGATGTCTGTTAACTTCGAATCACTTGCAACAGTAGTACTAACTGGCTTTATATGGAGTCCAGTTTTGAGTTTTCGTAGAATATAAAAACGTAAAAATTTCCACAAGCCTTAAATGAACTGAAATGTGATGTTTCACATTATAAAAAAAAGAAACCTAACAACAAATTTCAGTTCGAAAAGAAAATGTGTTAAATTTGTACGAAATTAAGTAATCTACATGCTTTTATTGCCAAACTAAACTACTCATGCATTTCTATCGTGATGTATCTTCATAGTTTTGCCTAAAACTATAAGGAACTATGAACATACTAGTACGTCTTTCTTTGTTAATAGTAATAGTCTATTGTTAATCACATTTATTCAAATATTAAATCAACGACTGTAAATAGAAAAACCCCGAAAACCTTTCTCAATTGAATTCCGAACCTATCGAACTACACAATTTTACGCATAAGTAAAATCGGCATCATTCGATAGATTGAGAATGGCTAATTAGTGTTGAAGTTGTGCTGTAGCAATATAGCCAACATTTGTAGCAAAACACTGGGTGAATCCACTTGATAGCACCCTACACCCAAACACAACCAATACCATGTAACAACCGAGTTTTCTTTTTAAAATACTTGTTAAGGAACCTCTGCGACAAAGCAGAAACAGTATGCGTTGTTACATGTTACTTCAACGTTATCATGCAGTGAAATTGACCATCAAATTTCTAATGTTGAACCACTGAGATTTGTACATCTTCAGCTACAAAAATATATTTGAGATCTATGCGGGGTTGCTCACTTTTCAGGAAAGTGTCTATTCAACCGTATTTCATTTAGATCTCAAACATCTTATACTACAACACTGCATTTTCATTAATTTAATTAATCCCGTATCTAATCTCAAAAACTTCAGATGCCAATGACTATTGGATAATAAGGTTCATACCTACAATTGAATCATACACCAGCTCGTATTACTTGAGTATGTTGGAACTTGGTTCCATTTGATTTCATGGGAATTTATCTGTGTTGCAAAAATTGTATTGTACATAGCCCCCCCTCAATTTGAAACCAGATGAGTCATCGTGGCTGAGTAAGACTTTGAAGAGAAAGATTTCAGTTTTGAAGTGTTCACCTGTTCATGTTTAGTAAAACAGGAAGTTGTAGTTGACAATTACCACGAATTCAATCTGGAAGTAAAATTGATTACATAATGTAAAGCAAGTGCAATGTTTCATTTTACCATTGAATAAGTACCTATAATTAATTATTCAATGATTTTCCATAGACTTTGGTGTAATTGGTATGGTGAATGGTGATCACGAAACATTCTAGCTCTCGGGGAAAAGAGAAATCCCTGGACCTTATTTTCAAGTTTCTAAGTTTGCTGCTAGAGGGCGTAATATTTATGGTTAACAAGAAAAATGATTTATTTCCTAAAACATACCCAACAAACATCCATAAAAAATACATGCATCACAATCTTTATTGCTCTAGTTCATAAAATATGAAGGGTGGGGGAAGGGAAACATTTTTTTAAGCGGTTGAATGTAACTTCAGTTTAGGTTAACAGATTTTCACATAATTAGTCTTATTGCAAAAAGCTTTCTTTGTGTAATCAGATTTTATATGAATACAGTCTTCCGTTTTAGTAAATGTGATGAGTGGTAGAGGGCGCGGTTTGACACCCACATAAACTTTGCAGATTTTTTGAAAATTTCAAATGGAACAACATAATTATATGATAGTATCTAATAAGATGAAAAAGCAAAATATCAGTAAAAACCGCATTTTGATATCTGTTTCCTAAGCAGAGATAAGGCGAAAATATTCACATTCACAAATTTAAAAGAAACAATACTTATGATAAACGTAAATGCTCAAAAATGTCTCATGTCTGCCATTATCTTCGATAAAAAGACGAAGTCTCTCGAGTAGTTTTTTTATTATAATAATAGGTAATAATAATAATAACTAATTTTGTATGGTATTGTGCTTCTTTTGTTTCTAAACCAACTTGGATGAATATTGCCATTTTAATGTGTGAATGTGTGTATTTTCCCCTCGATTTTCCCATATCTCTACTTAGAAATTCGGTTTTCACCAATAAGTCCACTTTTTCATCTTATTTGATAATATCATATAATCATGATTTGAAATTTTCAAGAAAACCTGCAAAGTTTATGTTAATATCAACCACTCATTACGTTTACTAAAAAGACTATTTATTAAAATATGATTACATGAAGAGCGCTCCTTCCAATAAGATTAATTATATCAAAAATTGGTTAAACTAAACCGAAGTTACATTCAATTCCTTAAAGAGATATTCTCCTTCCCCCACCCTCATATTTGATGAACTAGAGCAATATGTGCTGCATTAAAATGGTAAAATTCATACAAGATATATTTTTTATGCACGTTTGTTGAAATATATCTTAGAAAAAAACTATTTTTCTACTTAACCATTAATCGTACCCCCTCTAGGGGCAAACCTAGAAACTTGAAAACAATTTCCGGCTATTTCTCTTAGCCTTCTTCCCTAATCTGTGCAATTAACGGTTCCATAGATATGGCCCATATTATTAATATGACACCCTGTACCGTATGTCCTATTTAGGTTGAGACTGCAGTGTATCTCAGCTGTTTTTAAAGCGGTTTTCGTAATCCTGTATCACTTTCTTTGTGAAACTATTAATACCATAAACAGAATCAATTTATACTCTTCATTCAATTCTTCAAAATTTTAAGATTCTTCACTTTCTTCCTTTGAATATTTTTGACTCTTGGAAATCAAATTCTTATGATCCTTTGTGTTCGTCACGTGTTTCTAAAATTTTTCAAATGCTACTTTCTAAAATTCTGATTTCCTCGGATTATTTGAAGTCCTTCAATTTTTCGGGGACAAGGCCAGAATTCCACATTTCTAAGCCGATTCATAATCCCTTCAGCCACATTTTAAATCTCATTCTACTTTGTAAAATTCAAGTAACCATGTTTTCGCAATGCGAACATTGAACTTTTAATCAAAGACATGCGCAGTTCCAATTGCAACTTTAGGCAATTAGATGCTTGTCTACCCTTGGCAAATGGCATAATTTTTAACAACCCACTCTGTTATTAATATCTCTTATTAGCGCATCCCATTAAAGCAGAAAGCACTTATGTATACAATACGATAAAAATTTGTTTCTTGATGACCCGTCGACCCTGGGTTTTCCTACATGATGATAACAATAATTTATTGCTGTTTTGTCCAAAAAAAAACAAAAGATACAGAAGATAACAACAGATATCCCCTCCAGTCGAGTAAAATAATAGTTTTTAATTTCTTGTGCGACTTCCTATTCTTCGGTTTTAGATTCTTAATTTTTAGCGCATTTTCTTAACATTAAAAAAAATGTGCTATACCTATACCTTAAAGGTGTTCCCGACGGAGGATGTACTTACAAAGAACGATTGCAACATCTGGACTAGTGATGTGGAAGCCAAAGTGCGAATACTGGAAAACAGAGTGTCAAAGGAGGGCACTTACAAAGGGAAAATGCAATATTGCGACGAAATATCCTGAGGACTTGACTCTTCTTGCATTATATAGCGTATATTTACTAAGAAGCTAAACATAAATAACTACTGCTACTACCAATTTGTGTCAATAACCATGTCTATGTTCACCTCTAGCGGTGCTCAATAATTTACTAAATCATTTTGGTTGTGGGGGAAGGGGGGGGGGAGAAATGGATTGGTTATATAGAAACACAAAACTGGTGTAAAAAAAAAAGATGAAACGAGGACCCGGTTGATCGCAGCTTTCAAGAAATAAGAGGTATCAACATCTGCTCAGCCTAAAACATCAGTGCTGCAATCTGCATTACCCAAGTTTGATTTCAAGAAGAATTGTTCATTTATAGAGAGCGCATTCAACATGAAACTATGAAGAATCAAGACAAAAGAAGAAAGCGAGGAAGAAAGGTAGATCCAGTCCAGACTATCATAAGGAATGATATTTGAGACATTTTTGGGTGCATCGTTGAAGAGTTTCCGGTCAAACAGAACAAAAAATGTAAGGCCAAAATGTTTTTCTTCCAAATTACACACAAAAACTATAGAAGATATGGAAAACTTGACTAAGTAAAACTCGAGATAAAACTTGTAGCAAATTTCATCAGCATTCATTTTGTATAGAGTGGTGACGTCGCTAGGGCGCATAGTTTCCGAGATATAAGCGAAAAATCGATAAATGCACCCCCCACTCCACCCCCTGAATAAGGGCTACGGGCGGGGACTTTTGATATGTTCAATTGTTCACCTCTTAACTAGTCCAAAACTCCAAACAAAGTTAGGTACAAAGTCAAACATTGTGTTCCAAGCTCTATACCTTTTTTTGAGCAATTGTTGCCTGGTCTACAAAACACGCCGAAATACCTTCATTGTGGTTGCCGACCAGTGCTCTGTACTTTACATCAATGTCAACAAGATCAAGGTCTTACCAATCTTCATAATTTTTCAAACCTTTAGCTTCTTCGTCGGTTTCTTCAAACCTCCTTACCCAGATCAGTAGACGGTGTGGAATCGACAGCACAAAAAGGCATGGCAACTTACTTTTCAAACTTTACGAGACTATACACTGGTGACCTCAAACAAAATGGTCAAGGTTGGGCATGAAAATGACCTGAAGTTTTCGTTACGTATGCGAATATTTTAATAGGTACCATTCTCACAATCAGCTAAGTTTTTGAAAATGTATGGATTGTAGAACATGAAAGGTCATGAACAAATATTGATGAAATAGTAGTAGTATCAGTGACTGAAGATTAATCATTATTCATATCGATTATTAATGAATGAGTTTAAACGAGAAAGCATTATAGCTTTGTACAGTCTGCACAGATTAGTAGCATACGTACATAAAATTTGTAATTTGATTTAAAAAATGCTAGAAAAAATGTGTTTATAAAGAAATTGGTTACATCATAGGTTATCTTCGAATCTACTAAAATTATTTGCAATACATTGTAGGTATATGTTGATGAGGTGCCTACAAGTATTTGGTAAGCAATCGAGCTGGTGTATAAATTCAAAAAAGATCTTTTCCTTGAAACTTAGCAGCTGTTCATATAAGTTATCATACCCCTGATAGTAGTCCAGATATGAGAGTAGAAATCGCAATCTGAAGTTTGAAATAATTGTAATAAAATGCAGTATTGTGTTATAAATCCCAACCAAAAATCTAGTGAAGGTAGTCGATGAGCAGGTAACCAACAAGCATCAGCCACTGTATAAATATAAACACATGAAAATTAAATAGGTAGGTACTGTTTCAGTCGAGGTCCATGTCTGCGGCTGCACTCTCCGATCTCGTTTACAGCAATTCCTACTGCATCCGCTGGAAGGAACACAGTCATCATACTCATGGCCTACCATTTTCAAAAAAAAAATAAAATAAAAATCTCTCATTTGAACTTACATTGCAGCATTTTGCAATATAGAGCAAGGCCACACACTACAGAATGAAATGGAGGATACAAATTCTTAAAACTGAACAGAGATAGGCTAAGTACGTACTTTAAGTATTGATCAAAATATCCAACATCATAATAATGCCTATACTTTATAATTACTTATTTGTTTTGCTTAAACGTCTCTAAATTTGTATTTATTGTACAGAAAAAGAATTAAATAAGACTAAAAATTGAAATAAAACCTCCTGAAACGACTAATAATAGCACTGAAGTGTAATCATTCTTACCTTTTTTATCGGTCATTCTTAGTTTTCCCCACACAAATTGCCGTGTAGAGTGTAAAGGAGAATAAAATTCTTTTGTTAATAAAACAACTGCAAGAAGATAATAACGTACGAAAACCCACACTCGAACTGTCACTACAAGTACAACCACACCAACAATGAAAAAACTAGGCAAGGCAAGTGACGGTCGCGATTGAACTAACCACTTCACACCACACGGCACAGCGCGTTGTGTGAGATGCAAATATTGCACAAGGAGAGTGCGTGGAAGACACAGCTGTTGTTGGGAAAAAAAACAGGAGAACCAACCATAGAAATAAATAAGTTATTTTCAAATCCTCGCTCAGTGTTTTTAATTATCGCCCCTGTACAAAGCAAACGGAGTATAAAGGAAAAAAGAGTTTAAATAATTATATGGTAGCCCTATTCTGCATTTTAAAAGAGGTCACTGTTCATCAGGCATAATCATACCTTTTTCATAACAACCACATGGTTGTAATGTATTCTTTAAACTTTAATGCCGTACTTCCGGACTTCCGCCCATCCTTAATTCTTTTCAACTGGGAATGTCACAAACGTCAATTTTTATTTTATAAATTACATTATCTCTTTTGGACCCTTATTTGTACTGCCTCCATGATTACGAATCTTCCTCCTCCTCCACGCTTATATTGATATTAACTTGAGGACAGCTGCAGGGGGAATCGGTTCTAATCCTTGACCATGTTCGACCAGGATTCCTCCAACATATGGACCCTTTCAGTTGAAATGTGCTAAACCGACTATACATTTGCATCTTCTACAGCAGTGCGTTTCGGCCAGAAAGTATATCTACGAGCAAGAGTGTTTCCTTGATTCTCCTGTACAAAATCGCGCCAAACGACAAGATGGTCCTATGACGGTCTTTCATCCCGTGGGAGCAGCCGGACATCAACTCCCATCTGGCCTTGTGCTTTGCCGCTTCTTGATTTGTTAGAAGAGCTACTACACGGGATATTGCAAGTGGGAGTAGTGTCAGCTTCGGCTCGCAAAACGGGTCTTTTGAGGCTAAATTTTTCACTGAGAACTTGACCAGCCACTGAGCATTCCGTTTCGAATACGATTGAGAATTTACTGAGTGGTTGAGGGATTTATTGGAAGTTCAGTTCTTTTGAGCAGATGCTCGTTCCTGTGCCTTTCGTTGGATATATTAGCTTTGAATGCATCTTCCGCATCGAAAAGAATTATGAAGGAGAGAGTGCTGCTGGACTTCCTCTCTGTTGTTCAACTATTCCTTTGGTCGTAGTTGTAAGGCATCCCTCCGGGTCTGACATTGTACATGGCGATTAATGTACAAGCAGACTCAGGGGAACTTCCATAACGGCCGTGGGAGTAGAGGGTTGATACGCAAGGCACCCGCCTATAGTGTGTTCACATTTGTGCTAGTCTGATTCTAAGAGAAAGCATATTTATGCCTAATGGCGGCAAAGTACTGTCACAAAAGCAAAACAGCCTTTCGGGAAGCACTCCTATAGTTTGCCAATAGCGCGGCGACATTGCCAGAAGGCCCTATTGTCTTTTTTCCGCTTTAACCTATATGTGCTTTCTCCCTCAGAGTAAGAAATTCTTACTCTGAGCTTTCTCCAGTTTAATTTATTGTCAAGTGTTGTACCGAAATATTTCAGAGACTCTGAAATGTGGAAGTTTTTAGAAAGGAACGGATGCTCGAAGACGCTCGACCATCTTTTTTTCGTGTCCCGTGTCCGTCTTTGCTGGGTTTATCGATAATTAGTGTTCTTCACACCATTTTCTCTATTATTGTGAGGGCCCTATGCATAAGACTGCAAAGAGTTGTGACGTGTATCCTTGCCGTATAGGCAACTTATCATATATAAGTACCAAAAATTTCATTGAGAGGCGTAGGCTTCATCTTGCACTGCGCCTCGGATTTTCTGACAGGCACGTTCTGTAAGCGTGACGAGGTTCCGTTATTTTTGTTTAAATATTTGTGCGCTAAGTTATTGTGTTCATTTTAAATGACAAATGAGCACGAGGGCCTTTCCTGTACGGCTGTACCTGATGGGTGACTGCGTCGTTTCCGTTATTCCCATATACAGTTAATTTTTTGATTTGTACGATAATTACTAACCTAAATGTAATGCTATTTGGTATGGTTGGAACTTGGAAAGCATTCTTTCAGAGCTGTCTAACGACGTATCACACATGGGGGGTCACTATATTTAAGATTTAAAAGTTGTGTTGAAGGGGGTGCGTCGCCAACTATGTCATTGTGATTCTCCCTCCGAATTACCGAAACGGATTTTGATTTTTTTAAATATCTCGTTTATTTACTAAGACATGGGGGGTGGTAAGTTTTCAAATTGCCACCCTGTATATAAAAGATATAAGGATATTCTATCCTAGAGCTATATGAAGAGCGCGCCACCTTCTTTTGTCCCTTTTATTGCATCTTTATTAACAACAAATAAAAGTTAATTTCTCATCTGTAATAATTTAGTTTCCATTTAACTTTCAAGTACTGTAAAATGTAACTGTGATTTTATTTACGATTCCCTGTACTAGTTTTTACCTACTACCCGCGCGTTAATAAAGGAGGAATTGCATTGGGGTAAAAAATGACCCCTACTTTTTTGACGTTTTGAAACAAATTCAAATTTCTGTATTCGCCCAGTCGATTACAATTTTGTAATATACAGTGTGTCCCAGATCGGGTGGGACTGCATGGGTAACTTTGTTATTATTAAGGATAGAGAATTGGTTAAATGGGCAATGTTTTGCAGTTTTAGATGCTTATTGAAAATTTCCTTTTGGAAATTCAAAATGTCGCATAGGTTCGACGTAAATTCAAAAAAACTAAAATTGGTCATTTCCTTGAATGTCTTATATCATCGAAAGTATAAGAGATATAAAAAAAAATTTTACTTATATAAAAGTTACTGTCTTTGATACGTTTAATTTAGAATTGATGTCAAAAAAAAATTCAAGATGGCTACTTTTGAGGAACATTTAACAACTTCCTAAAGTTAAATAGGCGCCATATGGGATTTTTAGATTACTTGATAGATTTTTTAATTCTCTTTTCAACGAGCCATCATAACATAAGATTGAAAATAAGATAGTTATATCAACGGTTTTTATATTTTAATTAAGTAGGCTGTGATGAATTAAAAAAAACAAAACAAAATCTATTCGAGGCAACAAAACAATGAAAATAATTACATCAGATGTTTAAAAAAATCAGGGACGCACTCATGAGAGGGGGGTTTGGGCATTACAACTCCCTCCAAAATTTTATATAAGCATTAGGTCTAGAAAAATTTGATTTTTATAACATCACTTATTGACTTATTATCCATACTTACATACCTACAAATGGTGGTATAACTACAAACTATCCCCTCGAAAAAAGTCATGCCATTATCCAGTTAAAGACATTTCAAGACACTTCGCTTTATTTTACACAATGTATTACCATTGATGCATTGTCCCAGGTCACATTTTGTAGGTGGTTTATCCGCAAGAATATCGAAACTAACAGTTTTACCAGTCCGAGTATATGGACAGATGAATCTTATTTTTCTAACTGCGAAGTGTTCAAATCGACATATGAATACTACTCCGTCACAGGAAAACCTACATGTTGTAGTTTCACGCCGAAATCAAGTAATATTTTTTTTAATTAATGTATTTTATGGCATAATGGGAAGTCATGTAATTGGACCGGTAATCTTCGATGGATCTTTAACTGCTCACCATTATTTACAAATTCTCCAATAAACTTCCTTAAAGGATTTTTCTCGACAACGTATGTTTCGAAGGAAGGGTTAGTTTATGCTATCTACCAACAAACTGGCTGCTCAGGTCACAATTCACGAATTATGTACAGTACATTAAATTATAAAAGTAAGTACCTACTTAATTAAAAAATAAAAGTAAAGTGGAAGTAGCTACCACTACAATAATAATAATAATCATCAATGACAACACGTTGCCTAAACTAAACTGTCTTGAATTGAAGTGTGTTTCACTAATAATGGCCAGTGTTTTAAACATCTGGTGTAATTATTTTCATTGTTTTGTTGCCTCGAATAGATTTTATTGTTTTGTTTTTTTTACTCGTCACAGACTACTTGATTAAAATACAAAAACCGTTAATATAACTGGTATCTTATTTTCAATCTTATGTTATAATAGCTTGTTGAAAAGAGAATTTAAAAATCTATCAAGTAATCTAAAAATCCAATATGGCGCCCATTTAACTGAAGTTGGTAAATGTTCTTCAAAAGTGGCCATCTTGAATTTTTTTTTGACATCAATTCTAAATTAAGCGTATCAAAGACAGTCACTTTTATATAAAACTTTTTTTTTATATCTCTTATACTTTCGATGATATTGATATAAGACATTCAAGGAAATGACCAATTTTAGTTTTTTTGAATTTACGTCGAAAATATGCGACATTTTGAATTTCCATAAGGAAATTTTAAATACGCATCCAAAACTGCAAAACATTGCCCATTTAACCAATTCTCTATCTTTAATAATAACAAAGTTACCCATGCAATCCCACCCGATTTGGGACACACTGTATAAGGCATGTCAAAATTAAACCTTTGAAATTTTTGGTTTCTTTATTTAACTTGAACTTGAACAAAGACTACTCGACGTCAATCCTTTTTTTATCACCCGTGACTACCTGGTAGGCATGTATATATGGACTCCAGGAATCTAAGAATCCGAATCCGACAAAATCTTGATGGTATCGATCAGTCTGTCTGTCTGTCTGTCGGCCTGTCTGTTGTCTGCACTCTCATTTCCGGGTAAACGGCTGAACCGATTGGAACAAAATTTGGTACACAAATTCTTAGACGTAAAAGAGCAGAATCGCGCATCCGCAGGTGTGTGGGTGGTACCTGTGCTAGCGCACAGCAAATTTTATTGCGACTCAGCTTACATATTCAAGATTATCGCTCGAAAGCCATATCTGTCCGTTTATTTATTTTAGTTTAGAGGAAGGGAGGGGGTGTTTTATCGCCGGTCCGTGTGGCGCAGTTGAGTTGAAGCAAGGCACGAAGCCACCATTGATTTCGTGTCAAACAGATAAACAAATTTTTTAAGTCACCCGAAATTGTTGTTTAGTTGGTGACAACAATTCAGACATGGGGAATTACCATCGCACTATCATCAAGGCGCAACAGCTGGGAGAATTTCCGTTGCGGGGATTT